TTGTTTTAAACTAATGCTACCCATCTTAAAGTCCTTAAATAATAAAAAGCTTTATTACCAAAAAGAAAAAAAATGTATTGCTGGTAAGGACTATTCAAAGTCATACAGGTAGCGTGTGGCCATTTCTGTTCCATTATTTATCCATTAATAATAATGAATACTTTTGTGTATGTGCTGAATTGTGGTCTTAGAAACATTATTTAGCAACAGAGAATCCATCGGGAAGAATGAGCTGTTAAACCGTATGTGTCTTTTCTGAAAGCACAGAAAAAAAAAAAAAAAAAAAAAAAAAAAACCCTGCCATGCTGTTTCACAGAAGAGGCAATAGGAAAATCAGCAGGCCAGTGAGTTTGCTAAGATTGGTGATGAACTTCACCACAGGCTGCCCGGACTGCTGTGAAGTGATTGGGCATCCCTGGGAGATGGAGTCTAAGGTTGCTGTTTAGCCAGATAGCCACTTGGTCCCCTAGTAACTCTCTTATTAGACTGTCATCTCATTAACTGCTTCATGGCAGATGGTCCCCAAGTGCCACATACTCTACTTTGGGCCATGTTGCTGAGGGGTGCTCACCCCTTCGACTTAGCTTGCCCCCATCTGCCCAGACAGGTGTTTTCACACATGACTGGGGCTGTGAGTACAGAGCAGGCTCCATGAAGTGCCTTTGCCCCTGGAATTGATTAGAACATAGGTTCCAACTGGAAAAACCACATTAGGAATTTTTTTTTTGACAGACACAGAGTTTGAGTTTCTGATAATTACTATTTCACCAAACCAACTGAGACTCAGGACTGCAATTAAAAAGAAATGATCTTCCATGTATAATGGCTTTCACACTGCATGGTACCATTAAATAGCCATCACTAACCACTAAAGCATGTACTACTCCTTCCCCAGATCCCTTTCTCTGCCAAGAAATTTAAGAACAAGAATGATCAATGAATGAATTGTCAGCACTGTAATTATTGGTATAGCACATGCAAATCAAACATTTTCAGAATGATTTAGATGAATGAGGAATTGTTAATGATAGTGATATTATCCAGACATTGAATTTCTTCTAAAGACCCATACTTATGTCTTTTTATCTACAATTCATGGGCTAGTTCATAAAAAGGAAGTATCTTTAAAAAATAAAGAACAAGGAGATTTGGGGTAATTTCTTGAGTATTTTGCTAGGTTCTGGGAACAGAAAGCTCAATAAAATAGCTTTTCTTCTCACAAAGCTTCTGTAGCCGGGCACAGACAAATGGACATGAACCACCAGTATGGTATGATGGATTAATAAACAAATGTGTACCAGGTGTAAGAGTTCACAGGGGAGTTTAGCTTGCAGGGGAAAGTTATTATGATGGAAGGAAAAGTCTGCTTGAGAACATACAATTCTTGCTTGAGCCTTTTTATCTTGTCTTCTTAGGAAACACCTCTTTCCCCTCTCTACAAATGTTTGTAGCCTGGAAGAGACACAGGAAAAATGGTCACAGAAGATATGAGAGCTTGAGAATGTGAAGTTGCTCAAGACCTTAGAGATGCCATTTAAAATAGGAGACCAGAAGGCTCTGGGGTCCCGACTTCACATTGCATGCTTAGTCCAGAAGTGCCTTCATCCGCTCCTGGAGCAGAGGGGGTCACAGATACAATAATAAGACATACGTGACTGAAGAGATACGATAAAAGAAGCATGACTTATATCCAACTCAAACACATTTATTGGCATAAATTCACATACAATACATAACTTTACTCATTTAAATGTGATGTTAAAGGGCGGTTGGTATAGGCACACTGTTCTGAAGCTACTACCATTGTTAAATTCTGAAATACTTTCCTTACCCCAAAAGCAATTTTATACCCATAAAGAAGTCCCTTCCCCAGTTCCTTGTTCCTCTAGCCACGGACAATCATTTATCTACTTCCGGTCTTGATATATACCTATTCTAGACTAGTCATTTAAGTTGAACCATGTAATCATTGGATTTTGAGTCTGGTTTACTTTGTTTTTAAAATGTCTTTGATGTCCATCAATATTTGTAGTATTTTATCAGACTTTATTCCTTTTCAAGGAAGAGTAATATTCTACCGATTAATGCACCACATTTTTGTTCACTCATATTTGGGTTGTTTCTTTCCTTTATTTATCTTTAGTTGTTGTTGTTGTTCCAATACTGTTTCAATTTTGAGGGCTAAAGGACAGAGGTGGAAATGCTGGGTCGTAGTGTTTTTGAAATATCATTAACTTGTTTGCGAATATGTGCCTCAGGACTTTATTTCTAAGAGCAAGCATGAGTGATCAAAGTTTTCCATCTCTTTGTTTTACACTCATTTTTTCTTTTAAAAATTATAGCCATCCTATTGTCAAACTCTTTTGTGAATAAATAGTACATCATGGAAACGCCTTCACAACCAGAAAGAGACACACTTGTCGGCTTTTCTTCATTTGTATGTAAAGCCATAACTTAAATGATGAAGTTTCTTCTTCACTAATGAGCTGCAAAGTGTTGACGTTCTGACAACAAAGCTGCCTTTAGAAAACTCCCATCCCTGCCCCAGTCACTATGATCAAAGCCAATGCCTCTAAATGGCGACCTTTGAAAGAGCATCCCCGAAATGCAGCCAGGTGCCTTGGTCAGTGGTTGGCAAAGGCATCAAAACTGTGTCCGGGGTTGGCAAGGAAAATACCCCTCTACGACAAATCTCAGTTTGGACATTTCCTCCCCTCCATCCCCTCTATATGTACTGTTTTGTATGTTCAGTTTTAGAAACAACTAAGCTCCAAGTCACATTCCACTTGTGGCATGACGGTTTGTTTAGGTCAAACAATCCCTTAAACAGCCCCAATCCACCCAAATTTCGAATTCCACTCCAACATTTTTCTCATGAATAATTCAGCATCTGTTGCACACAATCCTGGGAAGTCTGTAGCCATTGATTTTAATCTGACTGCCATGCTGGACACTATGCGTGATTCTTTCCCTTCTGGCAGCCACTTCGTTTTGGAAACCAAAGCAGCTATATGTAAGCGATTGCTGGTGACAGGACATTGAGTACAAATGTTTTACTTTTAACAAAGTATCCATTTTGGCATTCTAGACTGTCTAGTAGAAACGGCATCCATGAGTTTAATTTCGAATTTCGCCAACTCTTGAAGTAGATGTGAGGGGGAGGCCAGGAGGATAACTAAGGAGCCATTGCAAGTGGCGAAGCTCAGAGCGAGTGTTGGACGGCAGTAGGCCAGTCTTCCCCAGAATGGGGGCGGGGGGGGGGGCATGGTTGGCATGCTTCAGGCAAAGACTTGCAGGGATTTTGTGGAATACAGCAGCATTCAGGAAAAGGAAAGAGGAGGTTGAATCTTTTGACAAGGAGAGACTGCAAGGCCAAAGAGACACTAGCTTCAGAATTCAGGGAAACCCCAGGGTCAAAAAAAAAAAAAATCAACATCCATTCTTTCTCAAGCAGAAGCTTACAGGTCCCAAAAGAAGTCAGTGAGCTTTGGGCCTGCTGGCCAGCCTTAATACTCATCTCTTAATGGTTCTGGCACTTGGTTGGACCAGAGAGGAGTCATACCTCAAGGCCCTCCTACCCCTTAGTATTCCACGGGGAAAACATGAATAACTTGCCTTGATCCTGGACTTGATGATAGTTCCATCATCTGCGCAGCTAGCCACGCGTGGATTTAGAGCTGGCCTGCCTGCCTTTCCAGGCTCTGGCGCTCTCCACTCCATCCTCCGCCCCACCAACTCTCCAGGGTACAAACTACAGCAGGGACCCGCGCGGGCGCAGCTGTTACAAGCCACCGCGCAGCCTAATCTTTCCCTCCTGAACACCTACATGGATTTCCAATACTGCGTCTGGCAGGTTCCAGAGGGAGTGCCTGCCTCCTCTTGAGCCCTCTGCCCCGCGCGTCCTGATTTCTAAGGTCGATATTCCTGGGGGAGACTGAGGGGACTCTTGGCACTACAAGCTTCCTTAAAGATTCGGAATGGTTCACTCAGTTTCCCTGAACACTCCCTGCTGCAGACCTGAGAGAAGAGGGATGGATGTTGTAACTCAGCATCCACTAATACACTACTGTGGTCCTTCGTGTTCATAATGCCATTGGCTTAGATCTGCTTTCTGCCACTCAGTGTTTGCGTGGGCACGTGTGCAGTGGCCAGCACCAAAGGGAGTTGGACCTCTCAAAGAACGTCAGCGCACCGCCAGACGTCAGGAGCACTTTGCAAGGGCCATCTGGAGACATCATCGACTTTGGGATCCGAAGGCCGGAAATCTTCAGCTGCAGGTTTGAAGGACTGGGCGAGCGGGAAAGGAGGTGGGTGTTTAGGATCGCGGAAAGCACCTGGGGTGAGGTGGGGTCCCTCCCATCACCAGAAGAGAGCAGCAACTGAAAGAAATGAAGAACTCTAGACATGTATGTCTGGGGTTTGCTTCAGTCTTTACTTGGAGTAGGAGTGGGGTAGAATAGAACAGATCCAGTATTGGCTGGTACCTTTAGAAAGGTAGAGAAACTCCTCAGGTCCGTGCTAGAAGTGCTTGAAGATGTTGTGAGAATACTGAGAGAAATCTGAAGCAATCTTTGAGTTGATCCTAGAGGGGACTGGAAATGGGGGGGGGGAATTTGGAGGGGAGAAATAAACCACCTATGTGCCCCCCCCTCCTTCGTAGCTGCTGACGCGATGGTGCTGCTTATTAATCATTCACCAGTCCAGAGCCGCTCCACTTAATGGCCATACCGCGCTGAGCTCTAGCCTCTTGGTCTCTCCACGCTCCGGTGTGCCTTGGACCCACAGAACTGCAAGAGACCGCGCGCGCGAGCAGCCCTTGGGTGATGCGCCCGGCCGGCCTCGGCAGGAGCCGCGCTCGCCGCAGCTGCTGCGCTCTGCCAGGCGGCGCCAGGCGGCGGTGAGCAGCGAGCTGGGTGTCTAGAGTCTAAGGAGGGCGCCGGCAGCAAGGGCGCAAGGTGAGCGCCCTAGTCCCTGAGCCGCACCAGCCCCTTTCTGCCGGGATGTTCTCCAATGGCACCGCCTCCTCTCCCTCCTCTTCTCCAAGCCCCAGCCCAGGCAGCTGCGGGGAAGGCGCCTGCAGCAGGGGCCCCGGGGCCGGCGCTGCGGACGGCATGGATGAGCCAGGACGAAACGCTTCCCAGAACGGGACCTTAAGCGAGGGCCAGGGTAGCGCCATTCTCATCTCTTTCATCTACTCCGTGGTCTGCTTGGTGGGACTGTGTGGGAACTCCATGGTCATCTACGTGATCCTGCGTTACGCCAAAATGAAGACCGCAACCAACATCTACATTCTAAACCTGGCCATTGCTGATGAGCTGCTGATGCTCAGCGTGCCCTTTCTGGTCACTTCCACGTTGTTGCGCCACTGGCCCTTTGGCGCGCTACTTTGCCGCCTTGTGCTCAGCGTGGACGCGGTGAACATGTTCACCAGCATTTACTGCCTGACTGTGCTTAGTGTGGATCGCTATGTGGCTGTGGTGCACCCGATCAAGGCAGCGCGGTACCGCCGGCCCACTGTAGCCAAGGTGGTGAACCTGGGTGTGTGGGTGCTGTCTCTACTGGTTATCTTGCCCATCGTGGTCTTCTCACGCACAGCCGCCAACAGCGATGGCACGGTGGCCTGCAACATGCTCATGCCCGAGCCCGCCCAGCGCTGGCTGGTGGGCTTCGTCTTATATACATTTCTCATGGGCTTCCTGTTGCCTGTCGGTGCCATCTGCCTGTGTTACGTGCTCATTATTGCCAAGATGCGCATGGTGGCCCTCAAAGCCGGCTGGCAGCAGCGCAAGCGCTCAGAGCGCAAGATCACTTTAATGGTGATGATGGTGGTGATGGTGTTTGTTATCTGCTGGATGCCTTTCTACGTGGTACAGCTGGTCAATGTTTTCGCTGAGCAAGACGACGCCACCGTGAGCCAGTTGTCTGTCATCCTCGGCTATGCCAACAGCTGTGCCAACCCCATCCTCTACGGCTTCCTGTCGGACAACTTCAAGCGCTCTTTCCAGCGCATCTTGTGCCTCAGCTGGATGGACAACGCAGCTGAGGAGCCAGTCGACTACTACGCCACTGCCCTGAAGAGTCGCGCCTACAGTGTGGAGGACTTCCAGCCCGAAAACCGGGAATCTGGAGGCGTTTTTCGTAATGGCACCTGCGCTTCCAGGATCAGCACGCTTTAAAGCTAGGCACTGCCTGGAGGGGGAGAGAGAGGCCAAAAATGGGGAGTGAGGAGCAGGTGTGAGCCAGTGATAACCGCTTAGTTAGCTGGACCTAGGAAAGCCATGTGACCAAGGTAAAATGGAGAGTTTTGTGGGTCACCTGGGAAGGCTTTCGGGACATCTTCTCAGCCCTTCCTCCACCCTACACAGCGCTCGCTACTTGGAACAACTCTTCTTCAAACCCGGTAACTTTGATGCTCTCAGTTCTGCTAGTACAAACCACAAACTTAACGTCGTTAACTCAGTTTGACCTTTGTCCCCTCAAGTCGATATTTCTGTTTCTTTAAACTGAGCCAGCGTTACTGCTATGTGTTTCCTTTGGGCTGAGTCCCCAGCCTGTGCTCATCCTGGTCGCTGCGCAGGTCAGCCGGCCAGACTCTGCTCAAAGCGGTTTTCAGATCTTCCCAAATAGCCGCTCTCCTTTTGCACAACCTTACTTTTAAGGAAGCCCGGCTTGAGGATGACCAGGCAACTTCTCAAGGAAGGCACGTCTTTCCCTGGGCACTTCCTCCCTCCGCTCCACCCACACCCAGAGCAGAGCTAGGTGCTTAAGGAAAGGTCTTGCACCCAGAACCCCAGACTTCGTATAGCTTCACCCAGAAGGACAAGTTTATAAGATCCCTGGTTTGTGGATATGGGTACCATAGAAGTCACTCTACTCTTAGAACTCAGAACTTGAGCCCTAAATTCCAGCGAGGGGCATTCCCAACTGGGGAATGACTTAGGCACGGTGCACCTGAATTGCAGGGCAGGCCCGCTGGGTTCCCTCTTTAGAATAACAAAAGATTAGGTTTCCTGCTCTAGTGAAAGTTTGAGGTCCAGCTCAGGCTCCTCCTGCAATGACTGCAGGGCCTTGGCCAAAGCTGAATCTGTAGCTGTAACTTGTGTGGTCCTGGAGGGTTCCGGCCTTTCAAGAGGTGCCTAATAAGTTATTTCTTGTTTAACAAATTTATTTATTTATTTATTTGTGGTGTTGGAAGTCCTGTGTTTCTGCTTTTCTCTACTTGCCTAACTGGGCTGTTCTTGGGAGTTCTGGGAGCTTCAGGGTGTGGGCCAGAGCAGGAGAGGAGAGAAGCTCACCCTAAAGCCCTCTCAAGTTCCACTCTCTTGGATAATCTTAGGCTTTTCTCAATCCTTCCTATTTTTGCTTGTATCCAGTGAAGTTTGGAGATTTTTTAATGCTTTTTTTATTGTAGCTTTTGTCTTATTAAAATAAATAAATGGTAATTTGGGTTAACTTCTGTCAGTGCAAAGTGAAAGACCTGAATTCCTGGTGTCCCAGAAAACATGAGGGAAAACCACACTGTCTTTGATGTGTGTGTGTATATATATCTATATGTGCTGCTATGCACAAATTGTATGTATATATACAAGAGAGACAGATTTGTTTCTCTTGACCGACTGTCACAAGTCCATGAAACAATTAGAAGGACGTGTGTGGCTCCAGCTGGGATGTTTTCAGTTTCAGGTTCAAGTAGCTCTCAAACTTGGAATGTCAATCACACTGAGAAATGTCAATCAGAAACTTGAATCCCTACTGAAGATATTGCTGCCTTGGTCTAGGAACCAGCACAGGTGATTCTTCCATGCATCCAGTTAACATGGTCACTTCTGCTGGGGAATGGAAGTGGAAATAATTATGTCTGAATTTACTAGAAATCTGAACAGAGCAAGGACCGATCATTTCACTGGTTCGTGTTTGCTGTAGTCTTTGGTGTGCTGGTTTGTACATTGGAGGCACAGAAAGCATATATCTATCTTGGTTGGTTGCTTAAGTAAGCCAGTGTATATCAGTGGTCCTGGAGTAATGAACCTGGGATTTTCGGGTTCCCACTGACATGACATACAATGACTGAACGCATTAAATATAACAGCTGTTTTGTGCACATTTGCTCCTAGAAGAACACCGTGCTTTTCTAAAAGCAGTAACCAAGAGTTTAACTGTCTTGTGTTTTCTTTCAACAAATGAACAAATATGCTTTGGATCATAAGAAAGTTTAGATCTTTTCCTAATAGTAGTTATATGTATATAATAACCCTTCTGTTAAAATCGATTTTTAATCGTTAGGAACAATGAACTTTACAAACTGAAATCTCCATCATTATCATCTCTGCAGACGAGAAATGTAGTGCCCTTAACTTGTTGCCACTGTAATAGTAACAGAATAAACATGTATATGCTGTCACAAGCTGCCGGGCTTCCATTTGATTCTTACTGTTTCACGGGGTTGTCTTAACACTCAGGTCTGATTAACGCACTTAACTTTTGGGAAATTTCAGCTTAACTTTGGAAGTTTTCAAAATTGCATCTATCCTTTGAACTCTTTTCTTTAAAATGGGAATCCTGGTGCATGTGCCTGTGTGCATGCATGTGTGAGTTTGTGTGTGTGTGTGTGTGTGTGTGTGTGTGTGTGTGCCTGCGCGGGCATGTGTGTCTGTGTCTGTGAGTGTGTGAGTGTGTGTGTGCGCATGCCTGCACGGGCATGTGTGTGTGTGTCTGAGTGTGCATACAGACAGGTAGGGAAGGAGTATAATGAGGAGATTGGGGAGGAGGGAGAAGAGCAAAAGAATGAAGCAGTAATAGCTTCTGAGTGAGTGTGACCAGGAAGCAATGGCCTGGGTTACACTCTGCCCTTGCCACACTAACCAGACAATGCCTCTGGTTTTCACAGATTAAATTACTGCCTGCCCTCATTCATGAACTCAGGTTTTGTTGTAAAATAAATAATTGCTGCTTTCCATCAGAGAAATGATAATGGGAGGGAGACGTGTCTTTTAAAAGTTTTAAAAGGGTAGTGTTAAAAAGAAGTAGAAAAATCAGGTTTTAAGGAGGACACATTTTATATCTTGTTCAGTTTTGGTCATTTCCCTGCCGGGGGCTGTAACAAAGCTTGGTGAGGACTTGAAATAAAAATAAAAACAGAAACAGATTCTACATTCTATAGAAGCTTTATTTTCACAGCAAAATGAAAAAAAATCGTATTCCTCAAACATTTGATAGCAGTGATTCTAGGATGATAGTGGTTCAAATGCCCTGTAACTCCAGCTTCACGGAGTTACATACATTACCACAACATGACTAAGGATAGTGGTACTTACGTATTTTGATTATTTTTCAGAATCATAGCAGGGTAGCAAATGTGAAGTTTGCAGCTTAGATTTACAACATTCTTTTCATAGTACTGGGGTCTTGATGCCCAGCTACAGCACACACAGTTTGTTACTTTTGGTCACAACTACTGCATGCATTACTCCAAACCCCTTCAAACTGGTTAGCTGAGGGGAAGGAGTCAATTGTTTGTACAATTTCAGCTAGCATCCCCTTTCTCTCCTTATTGGTAAATTGGCTCTAAATTATGCAGGGACATTTTACACCCTTGTGGGGAATATGACTGGGTGAGTCCTTGGAAAGTAGCCTTCCAGACCTTTGACCTTCTGCCTGGGATCCTCTGTTACTGCAGATGCCTCCTGGCTGCAGTCAGGTAACATTTGCAGCTCTAAGTCTGGGATCCTGCATCTCATCTGGAGCGGCATCTCCTGTGGGCAGCAGCTCCTTGAGTTCCCAAGGTCCTCATACTGATCGCACAGTGATCGCACACTGGTCATCCTCAGCCTGTGCTTTGGAGTCTGACACTCTGCCATTGCAGTCCCTGGGGGGGTGGCTAGTGGAGACCTGGGGACTGGCACTACATATCCCAAGGATCCCTTCGGTCTGTTCTCATCTCCCTCTGCCTATGACTGTCTCAGATATTTTGCATTCATCTTTGCTTTGTCAACCTCACTTAGTGAAACATTTCACACTCTCTACATTTGGGTTATAGTAGAGGACAACAAGAGAGGTTGAGCCCTTGTGTCTCATGTAGCATGAAAGATTTAAACCAGTTCCCTCTCCTAACCCAGTCACACACCTGATTTCCAAGGATGTTTGGTTTCCTGGGTACAAACCCTTCTCCTATCCTCAGTTGATGATCCGCCCTCAGGGAGAGATATTGAAAAATTCTCAGGTCATGAGACTCCCACACACAGAGAAAGACACTGAAATGACTGATCCTTTATAGAGGAAGTTAAAACATGTTGGTTTAATATCTGTAAATGATTATCTCACTTTCAAGTGACCTCTAAACTCCCCAGAGTGGCATTTTTCAGGATTTCTTCTCACACATTAACCATATAAAATGATCATATTAAAAAGCTTTGATGTCTAATTCATTTTATCACAACCACTGGTCCCAATGTTAAACATATAGTTCTCATATGATGAAAAAGTGGTTCTCTTAGCATGGAGATGCATAATTTTGAATTATAAATATATTTCTAACTTGGTAACATTAAGGAAATAATAACGATACTAATGCACTCTTCCAAGAAAAACTCGTTTGGTGGTATATTATGTCTTATGAGTTACTCACAGTCCCTTCTTTGTTCCATGGTGGTACATCAGAGGTGAAACTCCAACGATGCTATTAACCGGTGGTCAGAATCTGCTAACACAGTGGTAAGTGCTCAAAGCACAGGGCATTGCTAAGTTGGTGTTGTTCCCTTCCAGCACTGTGCACTTGGACCACTTACACAGATGGGTATTTTGCTTCTCATCCAACAGATTTCAGTTTGTTGGCTTTAGAATGATGTCAACAGGTTCAACATTGTGACATGCTTTCCCTAGGGAAAAACAGGTGCAGAATATAATGGATGATAGTTTATTATTTTATGATCTACCCCGGGACAGCATCCAGTAGCGAGCACCTGAGAAAGGACTGGGTTATGAGTGGTCATATATACTTCGGCTTCTGATTACAGCTATAAAGAAAAATGAAGATATCTCTACCATAATGATAAGGCGGAGGGGCCCCGTGAACTGAAGCAGATAGCTCAAACTAACACAGAAAAAAAAAATGCCTGCTTGTCAAACTGCTACTAGGTTGAGGGAAGCATTGTCTAAAAAGGAGATACGATTTTTTAGGTCAAAATCCTGTAAAATGTTCACTTCGATAATCAACAGGATGATTGACAGATAATATATAAAACTCAGTCTTAAGCCAAAGCTGGAAATTTTATATCCATGCAAGAGTGAAACCTCAGGATGCCCCCCATATTCTGGTTGAGAAATGAGAAACTTAGCACTTTAAAAATAAATCTCTTTAACCCAGATCAATCCAAATCAATTGTGAGTGGACACAGAAGGAAAAGAAATGACAAGGTGGACGTACCACCCGCCTAGCGTATTACCTCTTTAGAACTGTGATTACATGGCTGGAACAATTCGTGCGGAAGATTCGGGTCCTTGCCAGCGCTAGGACATTTAAGAAAGATTATGTATTAGATTCCACTTAGAGACCACAGGTTTTGCAAGCGAGGAAACAGCAGGATAATATAGAAACACTGGTCTAACTTTCACAAAAAATGATGGATGTGTATTTCCAAAGACAAGTTATGAAGCACTTAATCGAGAGAGAGAGGCTGTCCAGGGCATGAGAGGTAAACAGAACCCTTTTGTAAATTAACCTGACTCATGGGGCTTTTCTGGGAAAAGATGGATTGTACTGCGTTCTTTATGTTTCTATAATCCTTGAACAATCCACTAATCTATCAAGCTAATATTATTAGCAGTCACAATGTGTCTATTCAATATCAATAATTAAATCAAACATTTCCTCTATGTCTGACGAGCCGCTCTTACTTCTGAACCAGGCAGAGACACGCATGTCTTTTTCAACAGAGTCTCAAATTACGTTGTATATAAACTGCTGTACCTGGCATCTAGTTTAAATTATGTGTGCATGCTGCTGCTTGCACGTGCACACAAGTGTTAATTAAAAGAGTGACATCATATTTATTGGTAAAATAGTAATTCAAAGTGCGTCTTCTTCCGCCTTCCTCCCTCACAGTTGTTCCACCTTCTCCAGTCCTCCAAAGAAACTCTTCTCAAAAAGCTCTGTCACCTGGTTCACTGTTTACATAACGGAAAAGGTTTAAGTGTAAGTCTGTCAGAAGCAAGACTTTTCGATAAGTACATTTTATCAAAATGTTAGGCGGTAGCCTCTCTGACACTGTATCTTCCAATACAAGTATGTCATCACAAGTGACTCAGAATCCCCACATATAAAGATCACTTGAGAATTTTTATAAAGATAGTCTCTATGCTCCATCATAGAAATATTGCTGCATTAGAGTCAGGGTGAATCTGGTTATTTCTGAAAGCACACTGCCGTGTGAGAACAAGGAGCTGAGGTTCTAAGAGCAGGGAGCTTGCCGTCAGCATGGGAGGCTCTGCCTTCTTGTAGAATTCAGACAAGCTAATCTGCATGATGCTTATTAGCCTCATCTATAAGGTCAAAATGATGACATTTTCTGTAGGGCTGCTGGGATGAGACAATGCATGTCAAATGCCAGCTCTGTCAAAGGTCTTCCAGTCGTTAATG